AATCACAGGCATACAGTGTTAAAACACTCCCACAGTACATTACAATCCCTCCCCTCTATCCTGGAGATAATTGGGAAGTAAACCAATTATCTCCAAGGACAGAGGCAAAACTCCATTAACCACATGGTTACAATAAAACACTAAAATACAATAAAATACATAATGTTACATTTGTTACATAAAATATATACATGTAACCCATCCCCAGAGAGCTGGGATCTGAGCGCACAAAAGTACCAAATAGCGCTCATATCCTATGCACACAGTCCAATCGCCGTGGAGTTAAAGTGTTCACAAAGTCTGTTCTCCATACGAATAGACTCCACAGGATGGCTATCTGGGGTAATACTGTTCATACGGTTTAAACTACCGAATGAACAGGCATCCGGTTAAATGATCGAATGCAGAAGCAAGGAGGCTGACGGCTCAGCGGTGTTTGCGAAAATAAGTGTCTGTTTCCAGTTCCATAGTTTGGGCGCTGAATACCGCTGGCCGCTCGGGACTTTAAAATGGCCGCCGCCACGTGTTCGGCAAACGAACAAAGGCCACCCAGCATTTGTCAATTAAGCTGCGGTTAACCGCAGCTTCTGGGAGGTAAATTGCCGACACACTCCCAATACAGGTGGTCCAGTCAATCGGTTGTTTGTTCGGTAGATTGAATCTACCGAACACCGGGCAGAAAGGCACGAACAAGCCTTTTCTGCAGGGGAAAAGAAGGCATTTTAACATGGAGCCATAGTCCAGAGGCAACAGGCGGGCAACCAGGCTTCTCCAATGCAATGTGGCAAGATTGGTCTCATCACAGGACACTATAGTCACCAGCACAACTATAGCTTAATGTAGTTGTTCTGGTGAGTATAATCATTGCCTTCAGGCATTTTCATGTAAACATTGTCTTTTCAGAGAAAAGGCAGTGTTTAGATTGCCCCTAGGGACACCTCCAAGTGGCCACTCCTTAGATGGCCACTGGAGGTGCTTCCTGGCTCAGTCCTGCACAGTAGGCAGCTCTGCCATTCAGAGTCTCCACGCACTGCATGGGGATGCTGAAATTTCTGGTATAATTGTGGAATGCATCTCTATGAGGAAGTGCTGATTGGCCAAAATGGTGTTTGGCCCACCCCCTTGACGATTTTAGCCAATCCAATGCGGCTTGGCTTAAAATCGGCTATTTTGATTATGTCACCAAGGGGGCAGAGCAGAAAATAAGGTGAGTTGTATTTGCTTTTAAGGGGGCTAACGGGGGACAAGCTACCTAAATGGTGGGTTTGGCACAATAGGGTTAGAAATATATGTTTGTGTTCCTGACCCTACAGTGTTCCTTTAAATATGTTTTTCAGAGAATGTCAGCCAAGGAATGATGCTCAAATTGCTCTCATTCATCAGAAAAGACTAGAAATGAATCCATTGCAATCCGTGTTTCACATTTGTTCAGACACAGACATTGAAGTCCATTTTATATAAATATTCATATATTAAAAAAACATGTTTGTGTTTTGTGTCTTTTTCCTTGTAATTTTTTTTTCTGTAGAAGATTGCCACCCAGTGCGAGTTCTATTAAACTGCACTTTGAATTTTGGGAATATTTTTTTTTGGGGGGGTGGGGAGAGGATGGCGGGCATCCCAATCAGCCAAGAACTCTGACAGCCTCATCTCCAACGATACTACAAAGACAAAACAATCTTACATGTAAATTAGCAATGCACACACTGATCAGCTACAACATTATTAGCACTTTTATGCTGTTGATCAAAAAGAAGGCAAAAAAATCCGAATTGAGTAATTTCCAATTTTGGGGGGAAAAGGGAAATATTCCTTCTTGACTCCATAACTTCAAGTCAGATTTCTCACTGGAAGCTCTATAGTTCTCAAACGCTGCCTGCTATTACAGGTGTTGTGTCAGTGTCAGCCCATGCAAACAAAAGAGACAGCCCGCATACTGCAGACAGTTTATTATTTTTAAAGGTGTGGATTCCTTCAAACAATTCTTGCATTACTTCTTCCTGGTCCATTTAGAAAGTCCCACCTTTCAGGATCTCCCTCCCACTTACTAAACCCTACGTCTCCATCCAGGTTTGGAC